ATTCCTCCCTCCTTCCAGCAGACTTTATCGTGTATGATTTTTTTTGTTACTTTCCTATCTTCTCCTTCTAAATTTCAATCTCCATGAGGGCAGAGGTCTTTGCATTTCTTGTCAATGGTTCCCATGAGTAGCTCTCGTGATTTCCAAACCAAAGCATTAAGCTTTTTGTGGACCTGACTGCTATCATGGGAGATTGCTGCAGTGTTCACAGTGCATAAAAACACCAAAATGGCATTTCAGATGAATTATGATAGTCTTAAGCCACCTAAGCTGAGGAATACTGGGAGACTCCGTAACCATGGTGGCATAAAACCCTGCATTTCAGGAAAGGAGAGGAAAGAAGGGAAGGGGGAAGGACCTTTCCACCTCTGCTTGGGCTCATTCTTTTTTCTTCTGACTTATAATAGTTATTAGTTAGTATGCAGATGTCTGGAGAAGTTGTGCAGAAGGCCAGGCTGAAGATAGAATTCTGGGAATTTCATAATAATAATAATTATTAATCCATTGCTTATTATATTTAAAAAATCTTGGTCTTAACTTTTGATTTCCATTTGTAAAAATTTAATCAGGGGCAGGCATTATGGAGAATGAAAAGTTGATAAACTGCTTAGATTTTTGGATAAAGCATTTGTTCAGGAAAGACCTGTTTCTAACAAACACTTATATATGTAGAGATATTCTAGAAAAATTAAGCAGTTGTGATGTTTCATTTTAATTTTAAATAAACCTAAGGACACTTAGCCCTCATGATTTTTTCTGAAGCACCACATGCTCTACAGGACTCTTTACAGAATGATCTGCTACTTTATTTGTTTATGAAGGCATTGATTCAACTGGGGCAAAAGTGTAACTTTGCCTAAAGTTACAAATCAATGGTGCTCTGGGATGATCCACCTGTTCAGGATTTTACAATAACTGTGTAATCAAGAAAGTCTCGGTGTATTCCCTATGAGATATCAGGCTATTTCCAGGCTTAGAAAGATCAATGTTTTGCTTCCACTAAATATTATAATTATTTTAAAGATAACTATTTTTTTTTACCTGAGTCTGAAGTTTCATCATATCTGCTTCAATTTTAAGGTTGGATTCATTTAGTTCCTTTATTTCTTCATCCAAATGCCTAATTTCTTCATCACCTTCTATACCTGTGAAGAATTCAGACTTAGTTCAAAATGAAAATATGCAGTAGTGGCAATTGTGAATCATTTTACATCTAATTTGCCATTTGATCATTGAAACTTGAGACTTTAGTGTGAGCATTTTCATCGCAACCTGCATATGAAGGATTTTGAAAAAGTGGTTAAGAGGAGTCGTGGGATTTAATTCTTTGCAAGGAAGAAAAGAGGAAATAGAAAAGTAGACTGTTAGCTCAGTTACATTAGCATCTACACTTCTCTGCTCACTGTGGGGCATGTCCCATCATCCACTTTTCATATATAAAGACTCAGGGCTTCAGAACAGTGAAAGGAGACCTCAGTAATCACTGACAGAAGTTAAATAACATCAAGTTTAAATTCCGAGATGGAGCTGGTCTAAACTCTAACTCCTGTGAGTTCTCTTCTCCTTGAATTTGGGCAACTTAATTAACTTCTTTTTGTTTCTATTTCCTCTTCTGTAAAACAGGAATAGTATTATGCAGCAAGAACGAAAGCAGTAAAATGCAAAGCCCTGAATCAGAGTCGACTTTGACTGGATAGGCATTATCTCCATCATTGCATTTTTTTGTTGTCTGTCTTTGCTGGGGTGCTAGGCACTGAACCTAGGACCCTGCACATGCTAGGCAAGTGCTCTCCCATTGGGCTCCACACCCAGCCTTTTTTGTTTGATTGTTTTATTTTGAGGTACAGTCTTGTTAAGTTGCTCAGGCTGTCCTCCAACTTGTGATACTCCTGCTTCAGCCTATACGTCGCTGGGAGGTCACTGAGTTTACAGGTGTTCACCACCAGCCTGGCTCTCATCAACATTTCACAGGAGCATGAATTGGGGAAGTGGGGAATGGTAGTTGATATTATGAATGCCACCAATAGGATTAAAGGTAATTTCCCAGGGTAGAAGAATGAGTTTAAACCAGTGTTGACAATGAAGAGGGATAAATGTAAACATTGGCAGTTAGATTTAATAAGAAGTTTCATGAGAGTAGGATACATGCATGGGGCTTAGCTTGACAATTTGTTTGGTGGAGATCCAGACTCTTTCACTTCCTGGGGTGAATACTTTGGAAGATAGTCTATAACTTACTGCTATGGCTTCAATGTGCCCCTAAAAGTTCCTGTGTTGGAAACTTAATGTCCAAAGTCATATTTAATGGTTTTTAGAGATGGGACCTGTGGGAGGTAATTAGGAATAGATGAAGTCATGAGGATAGGATTAGTGTCTCTGTAAGAAGAGAAAAAGAGACCCATGATAGCGCTCTTGTTCTTTTTGCCATGTGATGCCCTCTTCTATGTTATGATGAAGCATGAAGGTTTTCACCAGATGCTGTGAAGGTGCCGTGCCCTGCTCTTGAACTTCCCAGCCTCCAGTACCATGAAGCAAATAGACTTCTATTCTTTGTAAATTTCCCAGTCTCAGGTATTTCGTTATAGCAACAAAAAAGGGAGTAAAATCCTTAATCCTCACCTTAAAAGGTGAAGGTTCATATTCTCCATGACCCAGCAATTCCATTCCTAGGTATGCACTCAAGACAGACAGGTGGACATACACAATAGGATGCATGCTCAAGAAATGCACAGCAGTACTGTTCACAAAACTCTAATCTAGAAACAAGCTGTATGCCTCCACCAAAACAATGTGGATAACTCTTCATAATATAAAGCAAAGAGAAAAAAAGCAAACCCTGAACAATAACATACAATGTGATAAAACAGGTGGCTCTTTTGTAGGTCATTATTGCTTTATTAAAATTAACTACCTAAATAAAAATGGGGGATGAATGGATCAATGAAAAGAGTATGTTCCAAGACTAGTCTCACTCTAAGCTCTGAGATTCAATAAAAAACAAACAAACAACCCAACATCTAAGATGCATGTGTCTTAGTACCTGGATCAATCTGAAAATGAATCAATAGCCTAACACAGCTACTAAGAAAACAATGAGGGCTGAGAACGCAGTTCCGTGGTAAAGCACTTGCCCAGTAAGCATGATGCCCTGGTTTCAATGTGGACCTGACTGCCATCATGGGAGACTGCTGCAGTGTTCACAGTGCATAAAAACACCAGAATGGCATTTCAGATGAATTATGAGAGTCTTAAGCCACCTAAGCTGAGGAATACTGGGAGACTCCGTAACCATGGTGGCATTCATAATATCAACTACCATTGATATTATGAATACCAGAACTGCACAATAAAAACAACAACAAAAACACCCAAAACAAAACAATGAATAGAGTTACCCAGGCCCACACTATAGTATCCTGGACATGGGATTTATTCTGTGCTGACGGGCTGTATCTGGAGAACTCTATTTCATTTTTGAGCACCATCTTGAACTGGTAGAAGAATCATCTCTCAGATAAGTGACAGGTAAGAATAAGGAAGGTAGGATTGAAATATGTGGATTCTCAATGAAATCGGTATTTGGAGTGCTACAGGCACTTTAAATTTTTCTGATCTGAGCAAACAAAAACTTCTATTGCTGTATTTCTTTGATATATTGTTTTTCCTTTCTGTCTTTTCTTTTTTTTTTTCAATAAAATTCCACTTCAGGGACTGGCATTTTTTATATATCATCTGGTAAGGCAGACAAAAAGCAGGAGCTCTGAAGGAAGCAGGTGGTGTGCTGAGAACCCTCACTGGAGGAGACTCTCTCACCTGAGACTTGAGAGCTAAGGGGGAGGCAGGGAAATGAGAAGTGAGCTGTGAGGTGAGCATCGTCGCACTGAAGCAGCAGGAAGTGCACCATTGTCCTGGGCAGGAAGGGGATGCTCCCAGACTTCAAGAGGGTGAAGGTAGTGGAGAGGCCACCCACAGAGGACCTCCCAAGGAGCTTGGATTTATCCCAGGAGCAATGGGACTAGTGAAGGATTTTAAATGGGGGAGTTGGTGTAATCTGACTGACTTGGAGAACATAACTTGGGTTTTTGAGTAGAGAATGGATTGAGGGGGGACAGAGTGGAAGCCAGCAGGAGATTACTGCTGTGGTCCTGGCTGAGTCTCACGGCACTGTGTCCCATGGCCGGGGAGCAGGAACAAAGATGGATGTATCATCTGTAGGAATTTGCAAGATTCAAAATGGATTGGAGGTTAGAGGTTTGGGGTGAGAGAAGGGGAGAATCTATAATGTCTGCTTGTTTTGGCTGGAGCAAGTGGTATTGGGCAATAACTTCCAGTAACACAATTAAAGGTTTACTGGCTAAGTTGTGGGTACTTTCATGAATAGTATTTAAGTGAGAGCTTGAATTGTTGGTTCTTTTTGTTTTATTGATGTCTGATCTTAATGATGACAACTGCTATAATTTGGATTTTGAATGTCCCCTAAAAACCCATGTGTTAAAGGCTTAATCCCCAGGGTGGTGCTAAAGGGAGGCTGTAAGACTTTACAAGGTGGGGCTTTGTGGGAAGCCTTTAGGTTACTGGAGGTGTGCCTTCAAAGGGGATTAGGGGACCCCAGCTCCTTTCTCTTTCTCTCCTTCCTGGCACTTTTGCTCTTCTACATGTGCCACCATGATGTGCTCCCTTACCACAGGCTCAAAGCAATAGGCCAACTTACTATGGATTAGAACCTTCAAAATTGTGGGCCAAAATAAATATTTTTTTTAGTTGTTTATCTTAGGTATTTTGTTATAGTAATGGAAAAACTTATGAAGTCTTTTAATAAAGATGGTAATACTAGGACGATGCCTATTAACAAAAAGTGTCTGGAGCTTCTGGGGTAGGTATCATCATGGGATGGGACATCACACACACACACACACACACACACACACACACACACAATATCACAGTAGTCCCATCAAGTCTTCAGTTTTGCTTTCTGATGCTTCAGTTAATGGTGGTCAACTGCAGTCTGAAAATGTTAAAGGAAGGTTCTAGAAATAATTCATAAGTTTCAAGTAGCTTTTATTAAAGTACATGGTTTTAATTGTTCTATTTTATTATTAGTTGCTTATCTTTTACCATGCCTAATTAATAAGTTAAAGTTTATCATAGATAATGGATATGTAGGAAAAAAATAGTATATATAGGGTTTGATGCTATTCTCACTTTTAGGGATCCACAGGGGTCTTGGGACATAGCCTCTGCTGATAAAGGAGACACTATTGTGATGTTATCTTTATTCATAGATATGTAACTTGTTTTGCAAATACAAATAAAAACTATGTACTAATGTTCCTTTATAAGCAGAGGCAAATGTTAGACTAGCTAGGTATTGCTGATGACCAAGAAAACCATATTAACTCTCCCCTAAATATTTTACGTGACTACTCAATGATCCTGCTGTTAATATAGAGTCCATCTATGAAAGAGCAAAAAATCTGCTTTCTTTTTACTCAATAATTCTTATTTTACTTGGTAGTAACCTGTCCCTAATTTGCAGAGTCAATGATTATGTATTTATAATAACATGTTCTTTGTATTATGTGTAATTATACGAGTGATGCAAACACCTATGTGTAGCAGGTGTATATGATTTACAAGGTGGATTAGTGGTTATTTTTTCATATTATATAAACAAAATAAATAAATTATATTTCAAACAAATTTTAATATATTTCTTGAGTGAAACTTTATTTTTATATTGGTTTTACAGACTAAAATTCGGCTTCTTTTTCTATTTAGGGAAAAATGAGTTAAGTGTAAATTTTACCACATTTGTCATTAAAGCTCTGAGGAGATTTAATATCCACAAAGGAACAATGGGAAGAGCCAGAAGGATCTATTCAGTGTGAGAATATGTACATGGTTCAACTATCCTAATTTTTACTTCATTTTTGTCCAAGGGCAAGTGTTCTTTCTTGTGCAGATGACTAAATTTGATGATCAAGGACTGCTAGTGGTCCTTTAAAAAGGTGTGTGATAATAATTATGGCATGGATGGAGAACCAAAGACCAATTAATTCTTTTAAAATAAATGTTAGCTTTTTTGGGCATAGGCTTTCCATGTGAGAACTGGCAATATTCTCCTGAAACATTATCTAACTCAACTAATAGAATGAATGACTTTTACCTAGTTTAGTTTAACACCATAGGCAAGGTTAAACTCATATGCACCTTATATTTTACTGCAATTTGATTTTTCTTTTTATTTTTTTATGGCTTCATCATAATTTAGTGTAATGCCACAGGCTTAATGTTCTGGTTTTATCTTTATTAGGAGCAGCACTGTGATTTCTATTTAGGCAATAGGTGCTGTTATGTTCTCACAATAAGGACTCATAGGAAATATTGCTTCATGCATTCAGTTCTAGAAAGAGATTTGCTCTGAATTAACTTACTATAGTGTGGTTCTTCTAGTGATTACATTCTCCTTTTGCTTCTAAAAAGTGGAGTCAGATTTGAGATCCTTATTTACTGAGTGTGAAATGGCTTGGGTAGCATGTTTTTTTTTTTTTTAATCCTTGGGCTTTCTCTATCTTGCCTTCTTATCTTTGATTTTCCTTTGTCCCATAGTTTCAATTAATTTTTAAGTCGCTTTTTTTCCCCTGTAGCTTTGCTCTACTTAGCCTTTAAATACTAGTCGAATTAAGGTGCTATATAAATAAGTACACACTAAATTTTCCCAATTTTGAAGACATACAAGTGTTTGAGAGTGGGGAGTATTTCCTAGGGAAACCCAAAGCATTGGGGAAAGCTCCCCTGCTAACTTTCTGGATGTTGAAAATAGTGGGGGACTCAAGCCTGATCCTAAAATCTCGGGCATTCATTCCAGCTCTAATGAGTGTTGCCTGGTCTCCTAAGGGTCCACTTTACATAAAGCAGATGAAGGTCTCACTGGGAAGGGAAACAGTGGAAGCTCCAGAGTCCTTACAAAAGGGAAGCTCTCCTTCCATGGATCTTGTATACCTTCTGGGTAAACCCTCATGTGCACATTAAAAACTGTGAGCAGGGCTTTCAGGGAAACAAAATAACAACAGTTAAAAGTCTTCAGCTTGAGCTGGAGGTGTAGCTCAGAGGGAGAGCATATGTTTAACATATTAGAAGTCCTGGGTTCAATTCCCGTCAAACACACACACACACACACACACACACACACACACACACACACACACACAGAGAGAGAGAGAGAGAGAGAGAGAGAGAGAGAGAGAAAGTCTCTAGCTCAATTCTAATCACATGTCAAAGACACTACCAAATAAAATCTCTGAAGCAAAATAATTGCCTTGCCATCATTCTTCAGATGCCTTAGAAAGATCTATGATGGAAAGTACTGCAGACAGTGCTGATAAGAAATCTTAAAAAAGCACTCAAGGGCCAGAGAAAAAAGGGAAGATCCAAATTAGAACTAAGGAACTATATGTTTTAATTTTGATGAGTGATTGACACTTGGGAAATATGTAGGGAAATGGAAATAGAGATACAGATGTTAAGTCTAAGTCATTCAGAATCACTGTAAAAATATTTTGAGTAGAGAGGAACAACATTTAAGCAAATACAGACTCTAGACATTGTGTTTCCTGAAAATTGACAGGAGACAAGCAGGAAAACACACACACACACTAAGAGAGAGGGAGAGAGGCACCTCATTATGAAGCCGAAGGTCACAACTTCTGTGTGTGCCTGTCCATCCACTGGATACCATTTCCTGACTTTCTCTGTTGTAGATCTTTTTTAGAAAGTAAAAAAAGAGGCGGGGTGTGGCTCAGTGAGAGAGCACTTGCCCAGCAGGTGTGGGGCCCCAGACTCCATCCCCAGCACAGGAAAAGGTAAATTAATAAGTAAATGAAGGGAGAAGCTAAGTAATTGTTGCTCAGTTCTAGTTTTACCCAAATTTGACCATTCTTTTCATATTTTAAAATTATACTTTCCATACTGCACATACTTCAACATGCTGAACCTCTTGAGGGCTATCATTTAGACCTCAGTGGAGATGGTGACTTACCCCCGGTGGCTTTGAGTTTGATGGTCATTAGTTCTTCAGAGACCTTGCCCTTTTTGATAGCTTGCGCATTGAGAGGACATCCAGATAAGCTGAGAAAACAGAATTTATACTAATGTGTGAAAGACATATTATTTTTTATAAAAATTAGAGTTTTACTCATACCTACTATTGATGTTTGATTTACTTAAATCATTAATTTTTTTACTATTGATATTTTGGCCTGCCCACTAATTATATCACAGCTCACAGTCTCTTTGTACAAAGTAACCAATAAATACCTATTAGAGCAAAGGCAAAAGGCATTCAAGAGTGGCTTTTTTTTTGGCAGTGCCAGGGATGGGTCTCAGGGCTTCCTGCAAACCAAGCAAGCACCCTACCTCTGGAGATTTACCCCCAGACCTGGAAAATATTTTGTTTTTTTTTTCCCTTTAAATCAAAGTAAAAATAGTAATTGCTGCTACATAATAGTGATTTAATTCCTTTTGTTCTGTGCTGCACTCATGTGAGTGCCCTGATGTAGTGGTAGCTACTTTATTTTCCATAAACAGAAAATTGTACATATGGATTATGAATGATGATGGTTTCTAACTGATCAAAATTCCATGAAAACTAAAGCAGAATCTAGTTCTTGTTTTTATAGGTCTGATCTTTACAGAATGACTCAAATGAACAAAAGTCAAACATAACTTTCCCCTTTCCTATCAATCTGGTTGTGGGAAAGTTTCTGATTTTTTTTCCTTCAACTGTTACAACATTATTTTTTCATTTTAAAAGTCTCTACCCTGAAAGGAGAATAAAGGGAGGCTCGGCAAGTGCATTCAGATGCAGTCCTGGCCGGGTGGTCTGTTATTCTGTGGCAGTGTGTATGACCCTTCCCATTGAACAGTCGCCCTCCTCGGTGACACTCCTTTCCTTTAATGTCACCTGTTTTATTTAAATTACACCAATACGATAATGACAACATTGAACAAAACCTGTTGCCATCGTTTCTGATCAGATAATTTCATTGTTCCAAGCAGCCATTAATTCTTTTCCAGTTTTGTTGTGTCTTTGTATAGTTTTTAGATCAAAATAAAAATGATTCTAACTAATCATTTAAAATATTTTTTCATCCATAGAAATGTGGTTACAATTCATCTATAAAACAATTATTTTTGAACTAAAATTTGCAACACTATGAAAAGTAGAAGAAAATATTTCTGGGGCAAAGCCCTTCATAAATGCAAATCACTTGTATTTTTAAAGAATAGTAAATTATTCTACATTAAGATTCTATGAAATATGAAAAATTTTGATATATGAAAATATAATAATAAATAGTACCGGTAACATTATATATAAAGTGAGGGTTATGTGGTTTGTTCAAATTTGATAAAAGATAAATTGTTTGACTGGGGATAAGAATGAGAGACACAAACTGAATGCAGAACCACAAATTTCCATTCCGGAAGCTTCTCACTGTCAATCATGACTGATGTACGCTTTCTTATTATCTCTTTTTCTGGAGAGTTATGCAAGTTTGTCTTGTTTTATTGTTACATGTTGTGTTCTGAGAAAATGATCATGAAAGGGATGACTATTTAGTTGGTAGACTGCATATTTAGAGGTGCTTGTAGTACGTCTGTTTGTAACATAGTGGGTAGTAACATGTCCTTTGAGGTCCTCTGACATTCTCCCCTAAAGGATCAGTTTTGTTTAGATAACTTGTAGTAAATTTCCAGGGTGTGATACAGTGTTGTAAAAATGTTAGTGAAGTGTCCATCCATAATTACATGACTTAGAACCAAAGCATATGGTTATGGAAGTGAAGCTTAGGTTTAAAAAATGCCACTTGATATTTATTCTGTGTCTTCTGAGATAGTGAAAATATTTTAAAGAATTGGGTAGAAAAATATTTTATAAGTCCTTTATCTTTTGAAGATGGAGTTTGGCAGGTCTGTGGTATAACTTTCAGGGTTTGGAACTCCATATTGGAAAGGTAGGGAAAAAAATGGGCTTATATAGTTTTGGCCTAATTTGAAATTCTATGAAGGCATATTAAAGCAGCGTAAGCTTTATCTTCATCTATCTTCTTAAAGCGAAACGGAAGGTAACACAATTACTGGCACACTTGATTTGTTACAGCTGTTCCTGACTACACAACAATGATCCAAACTCAGAATAAAACAAGGTGAGCTATGGAAGATTTTAGTCTGCAACTGAAAGATATCAACAAAACAAGAAACAAAAAACCCACAGAAATTCAAGTTTTCTCAGTAAGCAAGTTTCAATGACAACCTTGAAATAAGTACTTCCTGGAAGGCTTCATTTTCTGATGCCTTTGATCTACATCCCAAAAACTGAGCAGGGTCAAGATGCTCCAACTTTGCTCAATTTGTACACTGCTTATAAACAAAGCATCAAAGATTTCCTGAACCTTCACTGGTTTTGAAGTCAGCATTGTGCACAGTGGTCTGCAAGACTAGAAAGGGAACTCATTACTCATTGATTGGAGAAATAGATCATAAATCTTCTAGCTTTTTTTCTTTAAGTAGAAAGCAAACCAAAAGCTGGACTAAGATATTTCTTGTCCAACAAAGGGCTCAGTCGAAATACACGACACTTGGTGATAAAGGAATTAAGTCATTGTGAAACTATAAAAGGGTTTTCTAAATCTCCCTTCATCCTGTTGTACACTTAGCAGTTGCTAAGCCATTTTCTTTCTGGCTGCTGTAGATGAGTCACATCTTCCTAGCAGCAAAATAACTACAATTTTGGCCTGAAATTGAGCCAATGCATGAGAGGGAGGGAATGGTGTAAATATGTAAAGTGAAAGTTTACAATTATATAACATAATAGAGTAGATATCACCACTTGGAACTGAAGTGAACCATTAAAAGACTGAACAATTTTAAAATAGCAGCATATGTGATATTTTAGAATTTTTAAAAAAAAAAAAAACCCACAAGTGCACAGTTTCTAGGGCACTCGAAAACTATAGTGAATTTTCAGAAATATAGAAAATAACATTTTTTATTCTTCAGACTAGTCAAATATCTATTTAGCATGATAATGTTATGATGTAATTAATTAAGTGCTGTAATTAATGACATTTAGAAGGGAAGCTGCCCACCCCCCACCCCCAGCAACTCAGATGACAACCAATCACAGTAACAACAAAACAAAAAGGCAGGAAACAAATGTTACCTTCTGTGGGTGACAAAAACATTATTTACATGGCCCAGCCCATTGCAACCTGGCAGGGGACAATGGGGCAGCTCTTGCTTGTTCAGTTTCCAGGAGAGAGGGGCCCCGTTGAGAGGATTCTCCTTCTGTCTCTTGGCAGCCAGGGGACAGCCAGAAGCTGTGCGGTGTGATGTGTATTTACCTGATATGTGACCTTGGCCGTCACATCCTATTACAGGACATCTAGAGAGACACAAGAGAGACATTACCAGCTGGGGAAAAGGCAGAAATAGTTCCATACCATCCTGGAGGAAATTCATGAAATTACAGACCTTTAAAAAAGGCCACCACCAGTAGCAAACAGCATCATATTAGTAGTAATAGTCCGCAGGCTCTGTTCTAAGCAATTTCCATGCATTATCTCTTTTAATATTCACTGCAAACCCACAGGATAGAGAGTGTTATTATCCCATTTTGTCGGTGGGGAAAATGAGGCTTATAGAACTTAGCTGACTCTTCACCTATTTTAGAAGAAATGGAGCCAAGTTCAAGGCTGTACTTTTTAGCACTAGAGCCAACTACAAAAGCACTAAGATATATGGCTTCTGAACAAAGATCAAGGGTATAAAGTGTTTTCTGCTTTGATAATGATACATAGCACATTGCTCCTGACATTGGAAATTTGATTTGCAAATGTTTAAATATTGTATTTAGAACTCTTGTAGGGAAAGCAATTTAAATGTCTAACTACACTGTATTGCCCAAGACCTGCTAGCATATTTCTTAGAGGAGAAAATTCAACTTAGATACAATTTCGCCTTACGCAAAACAGAAATCTCAGGAGAAAATATGGCTGGATTTGTCATTCTAGAGAACTTCCACAATGCAGCTTTCCT